ATGAAGAAGAAGAAGAAGAAGATGAAACAGAAGATGATGAAGAAGATGAAGAAGAAGAAGAAGATGATGAAGAAGATGAAGAAGAAGCGGAAGAAGAAGAAGATGAAGGAGAAGAAGAAGAAGAAGAAGATGAAAAAGAAGAAGAAGATGAAGAAGAAGAAGAAGATGAAAAAGAAGAAGAAGATGAAGAAGAAGAAGATGAAGAAGAAGATGAAGAAGAAGATGAAGAAGAAGATAAAGAAGATGAAAAAGAAGATGAAGAAGAAGAAGAAGATAAAGAAGAAGAGGAAGAAGAAGAAGATGAAGGAGAAGAAGAAGAAGATGAAGAAGAAGATGAAGAAGAAGATAAAGAAGAAGAAAAAGATGAAGAAGAAGAAGATGAAGAAGAAGAAGAAGATGAATAAAAAGAAGAAGATAAAGAAAAAGATGAAGAAGATGAAGAAGATGAAGAAGAAGAAGAACAACAACAACAACAACAAGATGAAGAAAAAGATGAAGAACAAGAAGAAGAAGAAGATGAAGAAGGAGATGAAGAAGAAGATGAAGAACAAGAAGAAGAAGAAGAAGAATTAAAATAATAAATACGATGCCCGTTCCAAACAAGCTGATGTAGACAAACCCTATACGCCTCAATGTTTGCATAGCGTAGTATTAAAAGCAGAAACCAAAGGTTTTATTCTTGCTACAGAGGACGAAATGCTTGTTAACTAGAAATTGCCAATGCAACATACTGAAAAATTGTTAATCCATAATGCAAATTCTGTGATGAATATCCAGAAATAATTGACCAACTTGTATCAGGTATTAGCATCCACCGAAAATAAAACACGGCATGATCGAGAGGACCAATATATGCACTAGAAAATCAGCAACTTTTACGGTCAGGAAACCATAAGAAATTAATATGAACCCTGCCCGTGCCAGGCAATAGACATAGGACCTGTTACAATTTTATTTTTACAATACACAAAGACAGGAAAAATACAAACCAATAGCCCAATTATACTCATTAAACACTATCTTTGGAGTTGAAATGTCAAAAATGTGGCACAAGAAAACATCAATGATTCCAGTTGTGATTGTGTGTTTTTCTGTTTTTTGTCTTGATATAAAACTATGGTAACCTTTATTTTCACTTGTTTCCTTCGCAATTTGTTTCAGTCGCGATTCTTGATAGCTGCGCCTATTTAAATTATTAGCATGCTTCTAATAATCTTTTATCTTTTAATTTGCTTTATGTAAAAAAAGATCATATGTTTAAACAGGAGTAGAGGGTTGTCTCCTTGTTCCTGTTTAGGATTGGATTTCCGATTCCTTCTAAATTATTTTGAAATATTGTATTGACTCCCTATGCATAATAAACTTTGTATATTATTACACCAGAGTCACATTGTAGCGTATTGAATCCATACTCAACAACAACAATAATAATAATAATAATAATACTTCAAAAATGCGTCCGAGGGGGTCGTCAGTGATATAATTTGACTTGGTTCATCGGGGGGTTCCGGGTCTTTCAACATCATACTCCCCATCACCAAATCGACCCAATCAGGGGGAGATCAATCCCTGATCCCCCCTCTCAATCAAACGCTAACAGCTACTTTGGCCTTTTTGAAGAATTAGACGAAGACAGACCACATATTCCGCACACCCGATTGGATGTTCGTAACAACCAATCCGGTGCGCGAAATATCTTTTAAATGGCCCGTGGTGGGGATTGGCTTCTTTTCTTATTTCGGTGGATTGCAGTTTCAATGGATAACCGAGGATGTAGTCTTAATGTTCCTAAATTTAACCCTTTTCCTTAAGTATTGTATAGTGTCTTACTCTAAATATTTGCCGTTTTTATTTTATTTAAT